AGAGAGAGAGAGAGAGAGAGAGAGAGAGAGAGAGAGAGAGAGAGAGAGAGAGAGAGAGAGAGAGAGAGAGATGATTGTCATAGATTTGGGACAATGCAAGTTACGGTAAGGATCAAGGCCATTGTGGAAACTCTTGGGGGTTCAAAGAGGTCGCTCTGGAATGCTGAGTGTTTCCATCCAGGCTGCAACAAGAACCAGTTTGGAACTTGAACACTTCATATAGAATCAATTGGAAACCTTACCTTGTTCAGCCTCCCAAAGACGGGCCGTGCAGTCCACAGAGCCTGCGGAAAAGAGAACAAAACAAATGCATAAATGTGAGACCGAGGAAAACAGGACAATTGCGACTGCTCTCGTCTCGTAATTGTCTCTTTTTGCATTTTGTTAATCAAACCCCTCAAGAGCCCTCAAGAGATGTAACAATGCAGGAGGATTTACAATGAGCTGAGGAAACTACAATAAGATGCACAAAGGCCATGCAACTAGCACACTACCTCCTTGCTAAATTCACTCACAGAGCGAGTGGCCCGGCCCAGTTAGTACACCCACAAACTGTTGAGAAACTTGACATGCAGACCTGAAGGACTGAAGGGACTTGACATGCAGACCTGAAGGACTGAAGAGAAGGCGCTAACGATCTATTTATAATCCACCCAAACGCTACGGTCTTCGCCCCAATAGAATGCCCTGGCATTATAGCTATATTTGGAGCAAATTTCAGTTGACTACCGTCTTCACCCCAACAGAATGCCCTGGCATTATAGCTGTATTTGGGGCAAATTTCAGTTGAGAGTCTTGAGACATAGTCAGAATGACTGGATGTTCTATTCGGTGAAGACGCCAGGAGGAGAGGGACAGACAACACTACACACATCCAGAGTGAATGCGCACGCAGTCTCGTAGTACCTTTTACTTATGCTAGGATGCTAATAGGCAGCATGTCTTTAATTGGATTTCCTTTTTCAAGTTTTAAGTTTTAACTGCACTTAATTTGAAGGGTGTGACGACACTGTGATCGGACCTCAGTCCACTAGCGCAGTTTGAATTGTAAGAAAAAACTGTGTTGCGCAAAAGATAAAGAAAGCCCCTAGAAAGTAACGGCTGCATCCGCCTCACCTACAGATTGGAGCCAGCACATTCCTCTGGTGGTGCTGATGTCAGAACATGATGAGTCTTCAAGAAGATCTCTACTGTTTTTTTGTTTTCCGACCGTTCGGAGAAGCCGGAACACTAAGCGTGTTGCAATTTTCATCCCCCCTCCAGCGGCGATTCCGGAATTACAAAATTAGTTCAAGACACAAAAGTAAGTAAGGGATACAGGCAAAAGCCGCAAAACATTCCAATTTTTTTCTTGGTTTCAAAAACATGAATTGCGAGTTTTAAACAGCGGGCAATGGCTGTCACCAGCTTCCGCAAGTGGTTGAAAAGCTAACCTGGCGAGTTTTAAACAGCGGAGAGGGCCGAGGCCCCAGGCATGATTTATTTTGAAAGGGTTGCGGTCTGCAGATGAAGAAGAACCCCACACTCCCCACCTTCCTCCAGCATATCACTGGCAAATTTCTGTGAGTGCAGCACAGTTGGCCATGAAGAGTGAGGGAATCAGCGAAGTGCAAAGTCGTCAAACATTGTATTGCAGGCCACGGTCAGTGGGTACACAAATGAACTGTTGAAATATAGACCCAGGTTCGGAACCAGGTGAAATCAAATGAAAGGAAGATGAGCAATAACGAACTCCAGCAATCAAACAGCATCATACATATGAGTCCAGATAGTCTTGACCTCTAACCAACAGCACAATTGCATCACGAGATACACCAAATAAGAACACACCAAGAGTTCATAATTGACAATGCTGAAATAGTCCCATCATCATCAACG